AGTTTCGGCGTGCAATGGCGGTCTGTTGTGTTCCATTTTGTCGCGGGAACTCCAGAAATGGCGCAGCGTTGTATAGGTTTCCCGCCAAGCACAAAAGGAGGACGGCGTGGATGTCTGTTATCAGGCGGCCTCTCTGGGAACCGACCAAGGCATAGCACGTTTGCAGCGTAAGTGCGAAGACGTTCAGTCCCGAGGTCCTGAATGAGCGAGTGCGGCGGGATGGTCGAGCGGGACTGGCTCTTCGTTATCCGTACGTTCGCTGCTTTCGAACCGGGACCGAAAACCGTTTCCGAGCATATACGTGACGGGAGGGTACCTCTCGTCACGTATATGCTGAGCGGCTGAGCTTCCAACGCCAGCTCACCAGTGCTCCGGTCGTGGCCTCTCGAGCACTCGGAGGAACTCCACTATCTTTCGTGGCGACGTGCTACGTGCACGCGTCCGTGCATTCAGCAGCGATGAAAGAAGCTTCCCTCCAGTTCAGATTTAAAATGAATAGCATCGGTCTGTCGTTGTGTAAGACGAAATTCCGGTTCTTGGAGCAGAGTGACAAAATACTGACAAATGTGCAGCCGCTGCCACTCGCAGAGCAACAAAAAGCTTAAAAATAATGTAGTTCAGGGCTTTGCAGCAGGTGCTGCTGAACACCTCATATAACTGCGGGTGTGCACACAGCAGAAGAGGCTAACTGAGCCCAATGGGTATATAATACTACGCAATTTACAAACACATACTTTTAATTTGTTGAGGTGGGTAAATGATGGAGCCTCACGGTAAAATTTCGAAAAGCTAGCCTTCTTTTGAATAAGTTATTTACAAAAAACTATGTGGGATCAGAGTTGAATTGTCAGCGTGGATATAGAAAATATTTATTATGATGTTGCGTCTGAGACCTTCGTAAACATTTCAGAAAAAGTTAGAAAAGTCCTGCTACGAAAAAAAACGAGCAGACGGGTAGCGGCGCCTCAAGCAGACTGAGGTGCCCACATTGTTTTTTTCCCATGGTGAGCAGTGACACTTTTAGGCCAATACAATAAGCAAGACTCCAGCATACAGGGAGAGGTCGGCAAAACGTATCATCGTCTTCTGTGTCACAATCGTCTTCTGTGTCACAGTTGTAAATGTCGCTTCACACATAAAACTCTAATGATGTCCCTGAAAGAAAAGCAACTACGTATGCAGGGTGTAAAAAAAAAAATCACACACTAAAATGGAATGCAAAAATCAAAAACTTGACGGACCTCGTAGCAACTTTTCTCGAAACGTTTCGTTAACTGGTCACATGGTTGTGCTAAAATTTCATGTCGTAACTCCGAGTACAAAGAGAATAAAAATATAATAACTGATTTTTTCAACGGCGGTGCGGCAGCTGTTGGGGAGACACCGAAAGACGGCCATGTTTCTTTGCCTTATCCAGAGATGGCGCTACAGATTCAGTGGACGCTGACTGAACGAAAAAGTGCGCTTTTATTCGAGTTTTTGGTTGCGTGGGATATTTGCCAAAATAAAGTTGTTTGGGTTTTCAGATAAGTTTCACAGTGCAGAAAGTGTCACGCCATAAATATAAATAAATAAAACTGCGAACGTCTGCTCCAGAAATGACGTACCTTCGTTTGCTACGGTTCTTGTTTCGCGCGTCCTCTGCTTTCACAGTTTGACGTTCATGCTCTTGCCTCAGTGCTTTAACTTTATTTGTTATCGCTGTTTCTCTTTTTTGTATTGTTCAACGCCTCACCATGCGACAACTGAGCAACAAGGAGAGGTTACAGCTTGTTCTGTGGTACACAAAAACTGGAAGCTTCATGCATATCCGAACAAAGTGCCGGGCCGCCTTCAACAGAAGACTACCCTCTCGGCCAACCATCATCAAGTGGGTGACAAGGTTTGCCCAAGACGGGAACATGACAAGTCTCCGAACCATGTAGAAACGTCGCCGAAACGAGAACAGCAGCAAGCCGTTCTCGACGCTTTCGAAGCGCAGCCTCACCTCTCGATCAGGCGTGCTGCTCAGAGATAAGCGTTTGGCGTTTGAACTGGTTAGAGGTTGCCCTTTATGTTGTGGTGGCTGATTGTGGTCTATATAAGAAGGCAGACTAAATAAACCTGGTAGCTGAGTTTGAGACGTCGTCCTGTCCTTTTGTGTTCCTTCGACTTATATGTTCACTTCTACCACAGTCTCAGGTTTATTCAACATGGTGCTGCTCGTCAGCTCAGCCTAAGCCGGGGCTTCGTGTGGAGGGTGCTTTGTCGGCGAATGTACCCGTTCAAAGCGCAGCTCCTGCACGGATTGAAGCCGGAGGACTACGCTCGACGAGCGAAGTTTTCTGAGGACAAGCTGGCGCGGATTCAGGCCAACCCCAGCCACCTGCAATTCTTCTCGTTTACGGACGAGTCAGGTTTTTATCTCAACGGCCGCGTCAAGAAGCAGAACTGCAGGTTGTGGTCTGGCACAAACCCGTACTGGTCGATCAAACATGCTGTTCAGTCACCGAAGGTCGTCGTGTGGTGTGGCATATGGCGAGAGGGGTGTCGTCGACCCGTTCTTTTTCGATTTTACGGTGACCGGTCACACGCACCTCAAGATGCTGGAGGAACAAATTTTACCAGAGCTGGAAACTGCACATAGGCAACATGAAGTTTGCATATTCCAACAGGATGGGGCCCCTCCCCACTATGGAAGCAGTGTGAGAGCCTGGCTCAACAACAAGTTTCCCGGGAGATAGGTGGGCCGCGGCTCTCCGAACATGCCTTGACCTCCTCGATCTCCCGACCTCACCCCTTGCGATTTTTTCGTTTGGGGGTACCTAGAGGCCCAAGTGTACACCCGGCGATAGAGCACCATCCGGGAGCTGAAAAAAGACATCATCGACGCGTTTGAGACTATCAGTGACGATATGCGGGAGGCCGTTTTCCAGGACTACGAGAGGAGGCTGGAAAAATGCGTCGAAGTTCGCGGCGGGCGCATCAAGCTGGGATTCTAACCGTTTTTGTTGTTTTTTCTTGCGAGTGTATGTGCGTGTGAATGAGGCATTTGGTCGCAACTACGAAGACCGCAGTTCAGATTTAAACGGCTCTTTTCAGAGCCACCAAAGCGCTGCTTTATCGGGCGCACTCCTGGCTGCCTCTCGTGTCTCTTTCAAACGTCAAACTGCGAAAGCAGACAATGCACGAAACAAGAACCGTCGCAGACGAAAGTACATCATTTCTGGAGCACACATTGGCGGTTTTATTTATTCATATTTATGGGGTGACATCTTCTGCACTGGGAAACTTAACTGAAAACCCAGACAACTTTATTTTGGCAAATATCCCAAGAAACCAGAAACTCAGAGAAAAGCGCGCTTTTTCGTTCAGGCAGCGTCCAGCGAATCCGTAGCGCCATCTCTGGATAAGGCAAAGACACATGGCCGTCGTTCGGTGTCTCCCCAACAGGTGGCACACCGTCGTTGAAAAAAATCAGTTATTATTTTTTTTATTTTCTTTGTACTCGGAGTTCCGACTTGAAATAGCACACCAATGTGACCGGTTAAATATATTTTCGAGAAAGGGTGCTACAAGATCCGTAAAGATCTTGACTTTTGCGAGCCATTTTAGCGTGTAAATTTTTTTGTAACACCCTGTATTTCGTAATAGCTCTTGAAAGTAAATATGAGACTTTAGAAAACAAGGAGTTTTGAATTTTTTGTACAATTTTAATATGTTACAATCAGGGGTGGATCCAGAGGATCCCCTGAAGGGGGACCCCAGGATTGAAAAAAAGGGGTGGGAGTTACAAAAAGGGAACTCACTACACACCTTATTGCGTGTTGGATCTTTTTTTAAATACGCACCAATAGTAGAGAGAGGTATTTCCTCCTCAGCGACAAAGTGTGGCAATTCAAGACGATTGCGATGCCTCCCGCTTCGAATCAAGGAATAACGGAATCTTGATTTGTTTCTGTGCCCTCTTCGCACGACCTAAGACTGTGGTTTAGGTTTTTCGGTACATTCCGATAAACCACAAAAGTTATTCCCAAGTTGGTTTTATCGAAATCGGTCCTTGAATAAGAAAAAAACCAACCTTTGCGGGAAGAAAACTTTCATCTGCAGTTTTATTTTGGCAGTAAACACTGCCTCCAATGAACTGTCCGCGAGGCTCGTTTTTGCTCTGGATCCCCACGTCTCGTTTCCTTTCCTTGTCAGTACAAGGATGCCTTCCAATTATTCGGGTCACATGAATGTTCGACGGTGGTTGCATCTGGATCTGCCACTGGCTCTGATGCGCAGGATGTCCGGATACTCTCCCCCAAATAATAACCAAGCAATGCTGTTAAAATGCGCCTCGACCAAATTTTTCACGTGTTCTTTTTTTTGTAAGGCAACTGTTTCTTGTGTTCAAACTTAATTAATATGTTCCTTAACTAATTCTTTCCAGTTTCACCCAACAAATACGTGCCAGCAAGGTCAAGCCCCAAGAAAGCTGTGTGGCCACTTGAAAACGCAGAAATGGGCTCACTCGGCTTGCCTGCGACTAGTGCCAATGGACGGCCTGGGACTACTGCCGGCTCACCCATTCATCCCTTAACTGAAGACAGAATACCTGATCATGAAACCTGTGGTGAGTCCTCGACTGCGTCGGATGGCACAGGACATCAATTGATTACGTCGATAGCTACTACTTCAACCTCTGTGCAAGACGACTTCGTCCCCATCCATCCTTGCACGGCTGCGGAGGTAGAAGATGCTAGTGATCTTTTATCACCAACTGACAGTGAGCTGCAACAAGGAAGCATGCTAGCACAAACAGAAAGCCTATGGTGCCTTGAGCTTAAGAAAGTTGTAGCAGATGTGACAAGGAAATATAAGCTTCAACATCATCACAAAAATGCAAAAAAAAAAAAAAAATTCAGACTTTGAAGAATGAATTACAAAGTGCACAAGAACAACTTCGGGCAGTCAGGGACCCTAAATTCCTGGCTGATGACCAGAAGAAGGCAATTGCAAAGCAATCCAGAAGGGGAATGACATGGTTTGTGCAGACCGCAAAGCGAGCCTTACAAATGAAGTTCGCATCTGGAACAACAGGCTACGAACTCCTCCGAACACTGGGCTATCCACTGCCCAGCGCCACAACTCTGTTGAGGAGAATGCAGAGCTTTTACTCCTTGCCTGGAATTCTCGGAGAGGTGTTCGACATTTTAAAGAGAAAAGCTTATGCCATGGAAGAGGCAGAACGAGACTGTGTGTTCTTCTTAGACGAGATAGAAATTGAGCCAGGCATTGCGGATGACCAGGCTGAAGACTGCTTCCTTGGGTCCATGATTCTTCCAAAAAAGAATGACGACGCTAATCGTGCCCTGGTATTTATGCTGGGAGGTCTGACATCCCGATGGAAACAAGTGATCGCCTACCACTTCACATGAAGGTCACTTGATGGCACACTCCTCAAGGACTTCGTTCTGGACCTCGTGATGTTGTCCTATGAGGTGGGACTGAAGGTACTGGCAGTCACTAGCGATATGGGTGCTTCAAACCGGGCTATGTGGCGCGAGCTTGAGCTTATCAGCACGAGACCTGAGGACATATTTTGTAGCATTCCCCACCCACACCTGCAAGGACGCCGGCGGACGTTGCACATTTGATCAAGAACATTCGAGGCCAACTCCTTCGCTCTTAAGTTTTTGTCCCCAGCAAGCGGACCATGGAAGAAAATGGGCTGCCCAGTGCCAGGGTCAAGCTGGAGTACCTTGAGACAGACCTAAACACGGACAAAGAGAATGAACTCAAAGTTGCACCAGGCTTGTCTGAAATCTATGTGAGCCAGGGACACTTCACAAAGATGAAGGTTAACATCACCGTACAGTTTTTTCGAGAGGCTTCAACTGTCATACGGTACAGGGTGAGCCAAGGGCAACTGCCACCAGAGACAGAAACCAGAGCTTGGTTTTGTGAGCTTGTTTTCGGCTGGTTTACCCTCATGTCATCGAGGCGCTCAGTTGTGGCCATCTGTCACTTTGACGGCAACAAATACCGTGCTGCCATTCAGAAGCTGAACCTCGCACCTCGGACGTTCCGCGAAATGACCATGGGTGAGACATCGTACTGGAAGCCGTCTTAGGCGGGTCTCATTCCTTCCACAACTGTGGTTTATCAGCTCCAAGAAGAACTGCTTAACGAGCATGGATATGACTATCTGCTCACGGGAAAAATGACGCAGGACTGTTTAGAAAATTTGTTTTCTGTTATCGGTATAAAGAAGCCAGTGCCAAGCGCGTGCGACTTCAAGTATGCTCTCCGAATGGTCTGCGTGAGCCAGTTCGTCTACACTCATGAAGACATCTGGTTACACGGTAGATGACAGAGAGTACCTTGCAGACCTGTTCTCAGCTTGTCCAAGGGCTGCACCTCAAGAGGCTACTCCGACGAAAGAGGTCATGTATGGCATGCTCGACTCGCTCACCGAAGAAGAGGGTGATATCTTGGCGTACGTTGCAGGATTTCTTCTGCTGACAGTGCTTAAAAGTGTCAACTGCAACAACTGCAAGATAGCCCTGACAGCGAACTCTAACAGCCAACATGGAACACTCATTATGCTTAAGGAATTTGTCAGAGACGGTAAAAACCTCACGTACCCCAGCGACGCAGCCATGAAATATCTCGTCGACTGTGAAGAGCAGTTCAAGGGCCTGACCTACATCACTGACATTTTGAGTCTGACCACTCCGTTTAAAACCATTCTGACTGTTCTTAAAGGAAACAGTACCGTGAATGCAGGAACAGGCTCTCCACACAGAGACGATGTCGAGCGGCTGCCTCTAGAAAATTATCTTCGCTTCTGGTTGAAAGTTCACTTGAAGCAGGTTGTCGCGAAGAACAAGTAAATGGCCATTCCAGCGAAACGTGCGCTGGAGTGCAATTCGGCAAGTGTATTACAACTGCAAACATGGAGTCTTTAATGGGCATTATACGATGATGATAAACACCTCTGTGCACCTGGACAAATGATGTTCTATCAAACATGCAAGAGTGAAGATTTCGAGTTGTGATGCCAATGTGCAGTGTGAGCAAACTGCTCTGTGCGCCACAGTTCTATAACTATAAATGAATAAAGGGCAAACGCCAACCAATCCCTAAAAATCGTAGGGTCCCAACGTTTCGGTGCCGGTTCGGCACCTTCTTCACGGGGGCTATTTAAAGGAGAAGTAGCTTCTTTCTTTTCTTCTGCGGTGAATGTAGCGCAGTGTGACAAGTTAGTGGCGCCCCCCTCCAGTCTGCCCGTCTGCGGCCGCCTGGCTCGGCGGGCAACATTGTTCACCTCACCGAATAAACACCGTTGAGCACACGCTGCTCCGGTCAGTCATCGTCCACCCTCACAACCAGGCTGCGTGTCGTCTCTTCTCGGCGGGTGCTTCGGCCCCCTTCGTCCACGTTCCAGAAAGATCGTGACACTGGCGACGAGGATGGGACGAGGAGTGTGACAAGTTAGTGGTGCCCCCCTCCGGTCCGCCCGCCTGTGGCCGCCAGCCTCGGCGGGCAACATTGATCACCGCGCCCCAATAAACACCGTTGAGCACACGCTGCTCCGGTCAGTCATCGTCCACCCTCACAACCAGGCTGCGTGTCGTCTCTTCTCGGCGGGTGCTTCGGCCCCCTTCGTCCACGTTCCAGAAAGATCGTGACACTGGCGACGAGGAACCGTGGCACTGGAGGCCACCAACGTGCACGGTTCGGCCCACGCCGCCGAGAGAGTCGCTACACCGCACCCCGCTCCTGTCGCCATGCCGCTCTACGGGAGGCTCGAGCCGTTCGAGGGAGATGGGTCCGCCTGGCCGGTCTACGAAGAACAGGTCCACGTGTTCTTCCGGGCGAACGACACGCCCGAGGCGAAACAACGGGACATCTTCCTGGCCAGCTGCGGGACCCGAGTCTTCAGCCTCCTGCTCGACCTCCTCAAGCCGGCCACGCCGCACGTCAAAACGCTGGGCGAGCTGCTCGCCACGCTGCGCTCGCACTTCAGCCCGGCGCCGTCCACGCTTATGGAGCGGTTCCGCTTCAACAACCGGAGCCGCCAGGACGGGGAGACCCTCGGGCAGTTCGTCGCTGCGCTACGAGGGTTAGCGAGCACCTGCGCCTTCGGCGACCAGTTGGACTCGCTACTCCGGGACCGGTTCGTCTGCGGCATCAACAACTCCGCCATGCAGACGAGACTCCTGGAGCTCCCCGACCCCTCGCTGGACGACGCGGTGAAGGCAGCGCTGGCGATGGAAGCAGCAGCGAAAGACGCCAGCGAGATAGCGCGTGCGGCCGGCTCACCGTCGACGGAAGCGGCGGTGAACAAGATGGCGGCAAGGAGCGGTGCCTGCAGCCGCTGCGGTGCTGCCCACTCCCCCTCACAGTGCCAGTTCGTCCAAGCACGATGCTTCACGTGCGGGGGAACTGGGCACCTCGCACGTGTCTGCCGAGGAGGGAGGACGAGCGGCGGCCAGCAGCAGCAGCAGCCTGGTTCAAGCCCGGGCTCCAGCCAAGCCCGCGGCCAGGGTGGTCGTCGCAAGAGAACGCGGCGGGGACGAGTGGCACCAGGTCCGGGTACCTCCTCAGCCAGGGTCCACGTTGTGGCCGAGGACCCGCAGATTTTCGACGTGTGGCAGACGAGTAAGCCTTCATCGTCTGTGCCACCATACATGGTGTCTGTCGAAATCTGCGGCCACCCCATCACCATGGAGCTGGACACGGGGGCCAGCGTGTCGGTCATGCCCGGGAAGCTGTTCAAGCGGACCTTCCCCGGCGTGTCCATCGAGGCGTCTGACGTCATGCTGCGCAGCTACTCCGGGCAGCTTTCCCAGGTCCAGGGTCGGGCCCAAGTCAGCGTTCGCCTTGGCGACAGGGAGGCAATCCTTCCCCTTTACTTAACCAAGGGGTCGTCGCCGACGCTGCTGGGCCGAAACTGGATTCACTCGCTGGGTGTTCGGCTGCCGGAGTACCAAGAAGCTGCGCTGCACGTGGTGCAAGACGTCCCGAGCCTCCTGACCGACTTCCAGTCCCTGTTCCAGCCGGGGGTGGGCACCTTCGCCGGCACGACGGTCGGCATCCACATACCCGAGGGAACCCGGCCTCGATTCTTCAAGCCGCGTCCGCTGCCGTTTGCCCTGAAGGACGGGGTCACCCAGGAGCTGCAACGGCTGCAGCGAGAGGGTATCCTGGTGCCCGTCAAGACTTCCGAGTGGGCTGCACCAATTGTCCCAGTCCTCAAGCGAGACGGCCGCGTCAGGATCTGCGGGGACTTCAAGGTCACCATCAACCCCGTCGCTACCGTCGAGAAGTACCCGCTGCCTCGGGTAGAAGATCTCTGGTCGGCTCTGTCCGGGGGACAGAAGTTCACCAAGCTCGACCTTCGAGATGCCTACCAGCAGCTGGTGCTCCAGGATGCCGCCCGGAAGTACGTCACCATTTCGACTACCATGGGACTCTTCCAGTACACGCGCCTACCGTTCGGCGTGACCTCAGCCCCAGCCATCTTCCAGAGAGAGATGGACAACCTCTTCAGGGGCATGAGGCACGTGGCGGTGTACTTGGACGACATCCTGGTTACCGGTACCGACGACGGGGACCACCTGCAGAACCTGCGCAAAGTCCTGACACTACTACAGGACGCCGGTCTCAAGCTGAGGCTGGACAAGTGCGTGTTCCTGACCCCCAGCGTGGAGTACCTGGGACACATCATCTCCCAGGCTGGCCTGGCCCCGGCACCCCGCAAGATTGAGGCCTTGCTCAAGGCGCCGAAGCCCAAGAGCAAGAAGGAGCTTCAGAGCTACCTCGGCCTCATCAACTTCTACAGGAGGTTCCTGCCCAACCTTTCGACGCATCTAGAGCCGCTGCATCGCCTACTTCGTGATGGGCAGCAGTGGGCCTGGAAGAAGGAGCAGGACTTGGCCTTCCAGCGCAGCAAGGAGCTGGTCGTTAAGGCTCCAGTGCTGGTGCACTTCGACCCGGCCAAGCCTGTAGTCCTCACTGTGGATGCGTCGCCGTACGGGGTAGGAGCCGTCCTGTCGCACCGGGGTCAGGATGGTCAGGAACGCCCTGTGGCGTTTGCTTCTCGTCGTCTCCATGCGGCGGAGCAACGCTACAGCCAGCTCGACAGGGAAGGCTTCGCCCTCATCTTCGGGGTCCAGCGCTTCCATCAGTACCTGTGGGGCCGGCAGTTCGAGGCAGTCACGGACCACAAGCCGCTGCTGGGGCTGCTGGGACCTGACAAGGCGGTCCCAGTGCAAGCATCGCCTCGTGTGGTACGCTGGGCCTTGACGCTGGCAGCCTACAGGTACAAGCTGGTCTACCGCCCTGGGAAGGACTTGGGACCTGCTGACGCCCTGAGCCGCCTGCCCCTGCCGGAGGTGCCTGCTGCCGTTCCAGAGCCAGCTGACGTGTT